ATTCGTCTTATCAACTCGTTTGATGCAACGGAAGAGGATAGGAAAGCTGGTAGAGCAATCTGGGAGGATCTGCGTACTCCTAGCCCTCCAAGCCCTGACCGGAAGTGAGGCTTGCAACCCTGTCCATCGTCAAGGGAAAGGTTCAATACACTCTCTAGCATGGCCTTCAGGAGAGAGTCATATTCCTTGAGTTTTGGACTGCTGAAGGCTGGGGAGCATCTCAGAAAATACTCTGAAAGAATAGAGAAATTCCAAGCGCTTTCGTGACTACTCACATTATCAAGGAACTATGAAAGTGAAGCATCCAAGGAAGCTATATTTAAAGGGGTCCCCGGGCCCGCACCTCACTATCAGATCCCAAAAACAGTTAAACACTGACGCCGGCGAGCCAACTTGGGTAGGTTTTCCCTTTTCAAAAACTCACCCCAAGCTATTATTTGTCCAGTGTATTATTAAATTCTTCCCCCAAAATTTTATTTAATTATTTATATATATATAAAATATATATATATAAATATATATATATATATATATATATATATATATATAATATATATATATATATATATATATATATATATATTCAACAAGTCGGCAAGGCTTCTCATGTCTTGCATGCCAGCCTTTGGTTTTGGAATGGTTAAGACCATGTAGACCATATTGGTTGGCTTGTGCATCGCTGCAAATACACATATATTCCGTGTGAATTGGGGCAGCAATATGAAAGGTCTTAGGATAGAGGCGTGTTCCCAATGACGAAATGTTAACTGTTTGGAGGAAGTCCCCAGAGTGATGTGGGCTCACAGTCTGGAGATGGGTAGTCTCCCTGTTTGATGTTACAGCCCTAAGCATGTTGACAACCACCTTTTCAACAATGGGGCCATCCCAACTTGACTGTTTTTAGTCCAGTGCTACACAAGGTTTTGGTGCTGGAGCAGCAAGTCTCCCATGCAGTGATGGCATTGGCATAGCTAGGGTCCTGTATTCCTGCTGAGTCACTGAGGTTGTCCGGAAGAATTTGCTTTATTAACTCGTCTGATGCTACAGAAGAGGACAGGAAAGCTAGGAGGATTTGCATACTCCCAGCCCCCCCAAGCCTGACTGTAAGTGAGGCTTGCAACCACTGTCCATCTTCAAGAGAAAGATTCAATAAATTCTCTAGCAAGGGCTTAAGGAGGGAGTCATATTCCCTGAGTTTCGGACTGTTGAAGGCCGGGAAGCATCTCAGGAGTAGGTAGAAGGCATCATGTGTACCAATGTCTTTCATCCTGCCTTCTATCATCCTGAAGTCTGAGATTTTCTTTTCTAGGATCAGATCAATGGCATTGGGCCCAAGAGGAGCACCAAGGAGAGTGCTGTTGGCTGGATCAATAGCTCGTGCTTCTGGTAAAACAGCACTAATATTCTGGACCATTTGTCGATTGGTAGAAACTATTTCACATTTGGTGGGGTTTAGAGACAGGCCCAAGCTCTCTCCAATGTCTTTGATTTCCTCTAGGAGAGATTCTGTAGTGCCAACTAGGGTACCATCATCCAAGAACCAGATATTGAGCTCACTAGAGAGCGCTTCTGTGACTCCCTTGATGACCAAACAGAAAAGAAAGGGGGCGACAGGGTCCCTCTGTTGTACACCCTCACACGAGTCAATTTCATGGTCCCCAAACAATAGTTTAGAAGTCACACTAGCATGATTGTATGAAGGGATAGAAGGAAGAGAAGTGTCTAGAAACTGCTTGGAGAGCAGCATCCCTTCTGGGTATCTTTATTTGTAGACATTTTGCCATCCAGAGGTTTTACCAATACAAATTCAAGGACATAATAGGAAGATTGTAGAATTATATACAAAAGACAATGCTTCACCTCGTGATCTGTATGGCGCATTGGTTCCATTAATACCAGACATAACTCACCTTGCAGCATATGCATAATATCTACAGTGATTCCAGACATAACTTACCTTGTGGAATATGCATAATGGCTACAGTAATGCCAGACACAACATCCCCGAACAAGGAAGATCGAACATCATAAGCGGGCAGCCAAGAAAGGATCGGCACTTTGGCAGTGACTGCTGACACCAAACACCTTCCAGAAGAAGAACAGGAGTCTTTGACCTTGCTCTGAATTGTCTCCAATATACCTGTGTAAAAAGGCAAGCCACATATACAGTAGGACCCCCATATCCACAGGTTCAGCTTCTGCTGGTTCTATCTGTGGTTCATAATGGCCCGAAAATAGTAATAGGGGAGCAGGTATCTTCTAGGAAAAGTTTAATAGTCTGATTTCAATTACTGATTTTTTATATGGCAACTTCTCAGTAAAATTTGTATCAAACTTTTAATGTTTAGGATTCTGTAGTTAACTTCACATGAACAAGGATAAAGACAAATTGTATAGAAAAAATTAAACATCATTATTCTGGATCCCCAAAAATTCTTATTTTCTTTTGGGGGGGAGGGGGAAGATTTTTAAAATAAAACAAATGGTTAAGGGTATACAA